TTGACCTGACATTAAATTTAGTAACAAAAACATTTTGATCAAGTAGTAGACAGGTGTTTTGGTTTTGGGAGAAGGCAAAATATGAAATTTATAAACAATGCCAATAAAAGAAAATAATTTACTAATCATTTCAATGGTAGGAACAAAACATCCCAAAAATTTCAATAGTTAGAACAAACTTCAACAATATCAATAGTTGTAACAAAATTTCTCAACAATTTCATTATTTGGAAAAAAAAAATCAATAACAGGAGCAAACTTTACAAGATAAATAACAATAATAATAATAATAATTCTGAAACAAAAGTTGGCACTTTATGCCAGCAGATTGCGTAGATATAGTGAGGCAGCTTTACGCAGGAAAAAAAAATCAGCTGTTCAAGCAGAATGAACGCCAGTTTTATAGAAACCTAGTAAAAGAAGAAAAAATATTGATCAAATACCCTGATGACATTGAAACCTATTGGAAATATTTATGGGAAAAATCGGGGAATCACCTCGAGAGCTCTGGGATACAAGATGAATTGCAAAGTCTTCAGAATGCCACTGAAATGATGGAAGTGACCATAACAGTGGAAGATGTTTCGGAAGCGGTCAGGAACATGAAAAATTTGAGGGCACCAGGACCTGATGGTATTCAAAATTATGGGATTAAAAGATTTCATTGCTTGCATGAATTGCTGGCCAAAGGTTACCAGGAAATACTTGAAGACAAACAGAGACCCCCTGATGGTTTCTCTGATGGCATCACGTATATGCTTCCGAAAAAGAATGACTTAAACATGCGTCCTGAAGATTTTCGGCCAAGATGACGTGTTTAAATGATCTGTATAACATTCTAACTTCCATCTTGGCAACTAAGATATATGAGCACCTCGAAAGTGAGAATATGATACCCATAGAACAGCTAGGGTGCAAAAAAAGGGCTAGGGGTTGCAAAGAACTCTTAGTAATAGATTCGTTCATTGCAGCACAAGTTTCGAAAAAACAGCGAAACCTCTCTATGGCGTGGATCGATTATAAAAAGGCCTTTGACTCGGTTCCACACAGCTGGCTACTTTAAGTACTAGATATATACAAGGTTGAATCTAAAGTAAGCAGGCTCCTTTCAAACTTAATGACAGGATGGAAAACTACGCTGAAAGTTGGAACTATCTGCACAGGGAATCAAATTAAAATATTGAGAGGAATATACCAAGGAGATTGTCTGAGCCCCTTATGGTCCTGTATGGCTTTGTTCCCACTAAGCAGGATTCTTCGAAAGAACAAGATGGGATACAAACTAATCATCAACGACGAAGGCACCACAGTCAGCCGCAGCTGGTACATGGATGACCTTAAACTATATGTGAAAAACAAAGAACAATTACAAAGTATGATTGAAGCCGTTTCATCTTTTACTAGTGATATAGGCATATCACTCGGTCTGGATAAATGCGCGGTGCTCTATTTAACCAAAGGAAAAGTTGACATCAAGGAGCTTGAAGACAATAAGTTATATAAATATCTGGGCATGCAACGACATTTTAAAATTACAATAAAATACATACAACAAGACCTTCTGACAATGTTCAAAATTAGACCCGGAAAGTGCTCAAAACCCAGCTAACTGGGAAACAAAAAATCGAAGCTATTATATCGGTTATAGTTTCGGCATATTGCACTGGTCAAACACCAGCCTACAGGAGATCGACCGCCTTGTGCGAACGACTCTCACACAAGAACGGGCCCACCACCCAATATCCTCTAATGCTCGTCTGTATTTATCTAGGAAAGAAGGAGGACGTGGTTTGCTAAATATCGAGGAAGCTTGTCGCAAGCAGGAAGTGGCCCTACGCCGATACTTTCTTACAAAAACAACTGAGATTTACCTCGCAATCTCAAGATTGGATTATGGTCTAACCGCACTTAACCTGAGCAATCGTGAGGTCTCTACAATAGTCTCAGAAAACGAACGGTTGACAGAATGGAAAAACAAATCTCTGCATGGAAGATTCTACAGCAAATTTGCTGCGGCTTTATCCTACTTCCTGACGACAATGCCTCCTTGGTGTTTTCCTTTTCCAAGTCTTCAGAACCAAAAACCCTCCCTACATCCTGGTACTCCTTACTCTACGCTCCTCTATCCACTCTCTTAATACTAGGTCTCAACCTATAGACTTATATATTCCCTCCCATAAAACTTCCTCCTTCAGCAAATCCTTCGTCATTCGTGCTGCTTCCTTATGGAACTCACTTTCTACCTCCATGCGTCAACCCTCGTCCACAAATTCCTTCAAACAACTCCTGTTCCAGCACCTATTCCACATTCAAACTTCCCCTAACATGTAAAGTTACTTGCATCTGTACACTGTTAAATTTCAATCTATTGCACAATTGAAATAACAATTAACAGTAAATTAGTTTGTATTTTCATTATTATGTCAGACTAAGACCCATAAATTGGTAACTCTGTTATTATTCTTAGGGAACAGTAGTCCCAGAATAAAATTATTTTTTCATTTATTCATTCATTCCTCGATTGACAAGGAAATATCCATTGAATGGCTGAAAGCTGGAAAGATATTCTCCGAGACAGAAGGATTTCTATTCACCATCCAAGACCAAGTTATTCCTACTAGATCATATAGAATGCATGTTCTAAAAGACGCAACAACTACGGATAAATGTCGATTATGCTCAGCGACGCTGGAATCAATCCAACATATCACAGGTGGGTGTGGAGTGTTAGGTGGCACCGAGTATCTCCAGAGGCATAACAATGTGGCTGAAATTTGTCATCAGGCTCTGGCGGTGAAGCTCAACTTATTAGATGACAAAACTCCATATTATAAGTACCATCCAAACAAACTCCTCCAAAAAGGTAGTCTCGAGCTCTAATGGGATGAATCGATTATAACTGACTATACTGTGCGTCACAATAAACCAGATATCCTTCTGATAGATATGAGAGAGAAAAGAGCAGAGCTTATTGATGTCGGGATCCCCAATGATAATAATATAAGCTCCACTGTTGGAGAAAAACTGAGAAAATACCAGGAACTGGCAATCGAACTGAAGGAATTATATCATTTGGGGAACGTCACCACCACTCCAATTATAATATCCTCCAATGGATTGATACCAAAGACAACAGGGGTAGGCACGATGGGATTGAAATTACCTCTTGAAGTGCTGAAAGAGGCTCAACACTCAGTTCTCTTAGACATAGCACGTATTGTTCAAAAAATTGTAAACGTCTAAAAAAATAATAAATATTAATATGAAGGTGACTGGACTTCTGGTCTCCCATCTCAGAAACTTACCCCGCAAAGCGAGAATAGAGAATGGAAATAATAATAAAAGGCTTAGCGAACCCGAAGGTTCGATGCCGACACCACCAATCGCTTATTACACTCCTCCCTCCACCGTTCGCCGTAAAAACCCAGTTCCTTCAGATCGGCTTTAATGCAATCTTCCCACCTTCGCTACCCCTCGGACGCTTACCATTCGGCACAGCAAATATTAACCTTTTAGGAATTCTCTCGTTACTAAGCCCAACAACTTTACAAGCCCATTTGATTCGCCGGAATGAAATTAGCTCAATTATATTACCCGGATACAGTTCACGCAATTCGGCGTTGTGTAACCGTCAGAACTCTCCGGTTAATTCATCCTTCTTCGGCCCGAATATTCTACGCAATACTTTATTTTCAAAAACCTTAAGACGCTGCTTATCCATCCAGTTTCGCATCCATGAAGAACTGTAGGTTAGACAATGGTTTTATAGATTCTAATTTTTAAGTTCCGGGACAAGAGGCGCGTGCTAAGTAGTTTTGTCAAAGAAAAATAACAAGCATTTCCCGCCTTCAGTCTTACCTTAATCTCTTCTTCAATTTCGTTTTTTCTAGTTATCGTAGACCATACATATCTAAACTTCTCTACCATTTCAAACATATTACCACCTATATCGATATCACCATTTTTGCAGCTAACCATATATTATGTCTTACCCGTGTTTATTTCGAGCCCTAGTTCTTTACTGGCATTCATTAATGTTGTATATGTTGTATTTAGTTTTAAAGTTTCCACGTCTTCGCTAAACAGTACCAGATCATCGGCATAGCCCAGCACAGGTGTTGTCCCACTCAGATCCAACCCTTTTTCGGTACACATTACCTCTCTAATGCCAAATTGAACAGGACAGGAGAAAGGGAATCCACCTGTTTTAAACCCGAACGAACCTCAAACTTTTCGGACAGATTATTACCGATTTTAACTTTATTGAGTGTTTCCGCCAAGCATAGCGCCAAGCCCTCACTAGATTTACTAGTTTTTTTGGAATCCCCTGCTCGATTAGAATATCATACAGTTTCTGGCGGTCAATAAAATCGTAAGCATTTTTGAAATCGATAAACTTTACAAGAACAATATATATATACTTTGATACAGAAATATTTTAACTATCCTGACTCTTAGAAATCCACAACTGGAGAGTGGCAGCAATCTCAATAGGGAAGACTGGCGATTCAAGCTGCAAGAAGCATTGACTCTACAGAAGTTGTAGTGCCATCCATGGTTGATGATGATAACTTTTTTGGAATTGAACTTTTTGCTTACCTGTGCATATGTTTAACACATTACAATATTTTTTTCAAATTTTCAAATTTAAAAAAAAAAAGAAAGGGGAGAGGGAGTGACACAGACTCAACAAACTGCCTTGAACAAAGCTTAAAATCTGTAAAATCTTAAAGGGATTATGGCGGGAATCTCCATTAGCAACAACCAAGATCATACTCCTTTAGGGTGAAAGTTAATGAATTTCTGCTACCTACCATACTCTTATTTTTCAAGTCAATGACCTTTTAGCTTCTACTAATGCTCAACTGTATTCTATTAGTCCACTTACCCTAAATGCTAACACTAACTTAGTGTTTTCATAAATTAGTTTGTTAGTTCTCAATATAACTCAGAACTTACTACATTATAAGAAATGGGAAAATAAATAAAAAGACCAATAATGAATTCAATACTTTTTTCAAAAGTAAAAATTATTCGTATCGTATCTTTATATAAATATACAATTCCATTCACTTTTTTATAAAATGAATTCCAAACAAGTTAATATATAGATTATTAATTAAGATGTTCTTAAAAGAACATATCTAACAATTACAATTTAAATTATTCTGGATGCTTTGGAATATCAATGCTGAAATTCCCTAATAGTGTACCTAAAACATAAAAAATAAATGTATGAATAAAATAAGATAATTATTACTACAGGGTGGCGACCGACCTGGACAAATTTTTAAAGTCAGGGAATTTTTTTGGTTCGTAAATATTTTTTTTAAATTGGAATTAATATAGAATGGGTGCCGTTTATAACGAGCTTAAGGGACCTGGTAAACTTCGTTGTTATAAATGTAATTGTTAAAGGGGCAACGCGACTGTCGTTATATTTATATCGTGATATAACCTATATCCACCTGTCACTGTTAATAACGGCTCTGGCCGTTATATTGAAATTAAACAAGTATAATGAACAAAATGAAGTTTAAAAAAGAAAACATATCAATACTATTTACTATCTGTAATTTATACATCTAACGACATATTTATTTTTTGTATAAGGTAATGAACTTAACGGTTATTCAGTTTCTTGGCGAACACCCATTAGATAAACAGGCAACCTAAAACTACTAGGCCGGTCGGGCGTCAAATCGTTAAAAAATTGCCTTATATGTCAGCATCCTGATAATTCTGACGAACTGGTGGCTATACCTTCGAAAACCATTCGTTGGTTAACTGAAGGAGAAGGACCTTCACAGCTAAATTTAAAATATATATATAATGTTAGAAGCAAAATTGTCGAAACCATACTCGTGAAATACTAGTTAAAGATTCATCTAGAGGATCACAAATTGATTTTAGGTATTCGTAAATCTTTTCGAGTAAAATCTGACTTAACACTAATATAGACTAGGAGCTACCGACCATTTAATGCAACGAAAGGACTTATATCTAGTTACCATTTTAAATTCTGGATAAATCTCATCTGGACAGACAACTTCGGTCAGTCGGTCGAAAGCCGTTGCTTTTAAAATTTAAATTAAAGAGGTGAAATTTGAGGGTACACTTAACGGAAGAACATACGGCTGAAATTTTGATATGATGTCAAGAATACATAACACATCGAAATTTCCGAAATTTTTTGGACAAGACTACGAAACTAAGCATTTTATCGAAATTATTATTATATACAACGTTAAAGTAAATAAAATTTACTAACAATTTTATAAATAGCTTTTTGATGTCTGGTCAACGGGTGAGGAGTAAGAAATGTTGATTGCATTTTTCACAAGAAAAATCCATTTTTGTCTCTGTCGGTTTTCCACCAAAACTCATGATTTATCATTTATCAAAGAAATTCAATATAATCAATTTGAAAGAGCATTAAATTTCGAATGTACCTCATGTAAAGACGTTAATATGTAAGACGATTAAGCGGCTGTTAAATCTCATAGAATCGAAGGCATATTTCACTGGGACTTAAAAACGCATTTTGACGCATTTTTTTATGATTGTTAAGTATATTGAAGTCTCTCATACCAACAAAATATGATTTTGTTTATACCTTATAGTTCTGTTATAAAATTGTTAAATTAGCCTAGATAGTTAAATTAGAATCAAAAACATTGAAATAAAAAGCGCTTAAGTTGTGAGCGGCAGATACTACAAGGGAAATCCGCCTTCGATTCTATAAGTTTTAATAGCCGCTTAATCTTAATCTTCTTACAGTCAACATTCTCTTACTCCTCACCCTTTAGTCCTACGTCAAAATGCTAGGTATAAAATTGATAGTAAATTTTATCTTCTTTAACGTTGTATATAACAATAATTTCGATAAAATGCATAGTTTCGGAGTCATGTCTAAAGAACTAAAAAAAGTTCGGAAATTTCAATGTTTTTTGCATATATCTCGATATGCAATGGAACATTTCATCAGATTCAGCATCTCAAACAAACATAAAAACCGAAGAGAAACTGACGATTTCCTAATCCAACAACCATCCGATAGGTCTAATTTAATGACTTTGGCATCGTCAGTCAAGGTGAATTATCTTATAGGGACATATTATTTACATCATACAAAAGACACGGCGACTACGGTCGAACCATTTCATTGGTTGGCAAGCACTCCTTCGTCCGATTCGTGGTGAATGAAATGAAATGAAATGAAAAAAATGTTTTATTATTCTGGGACTGTTGTCCCTTAAGAACAAAATATGAATAGAGATTATATGTCTGTGTGGCTACAATTAAATTGTATATTTACAATGAAAGTTGACTTACGATAGAAATACAGAAAAGAGAAAGAAAAGAACAAGTAAATTGTACATATGTATGAGAAACTAAAATAACCTTAATAAATTGAGGTAGTCTCTGGTGGTGCTCAGATATTTCTCTTAGATATATTTCACAATCATTCGGATTGAGAAAGGAGTAGGTGCTTAAAGAGGAGAGGTTTAAACGAGGAAACTGATTGAGCGTGTCGAATATCAGCTGGGATGGAATTCCAGAGGGAGGCGGCTTGTATTGCAAAGGATTTGTCAAACGCAGCAGTTCGGTGAGGAGGAGGATAGAGGTCGGAAGTACGAGATCTGGTGGGACGGGATTGGATGGAATATTTGAATTGTAAGCTGTGAAAAATATAGGAGGGTCGATGGGTTCTAATGATTTGGTACAGAAAGGTGGCTAGGAAGTACTGACGGCGATAGGATGGGTAGAGCCACCTCAACTCAGTGTAATACTGGGTAATATGCGTATCCCTTGAGATTCCGAAAACAAATCGTAGTGCGCAATTCATTAGGCGTTTAAGTTTGGCCTCGGAATCTCCCGGGAGTCCACCGTACACCATACAGCCATAGTCGAAGTGGGGGAAAACAAGGGAGGAAACTAGGAGTTGACGGGACTTATATGGAAGGAGATATCGTAGACGATTGAACTGTTTTAGGGTGGAGATAGTGCGACGGGAAATTTGGGAGATGTGAGGTTTCCAGGATAGGGATTGATCGAAAGTAACACCTAGGTTTTTAACGGTGGTGTAGAATAAGATAGGTGAGTTGTTCAGGAAGAGATTGGGAGATACCGGGGAGGATTTGAGGAGTGAAGGGGATCCGATCAAGATGGCTTTTGTCTTCTCGGCGTTCAGAGTGAGCCTATTGAGGTTTGCCCAAGCACTTATTCTGTCAATATCTTCCTGAAGTTTTTGAGTGGCATCTGAGATATCTGTCGGATTAAAGGAGAGGTAAATTTGAATGTCGTCGGCATACAGGTGGTATTGACAGTGCAGGATAGAGGATGGGAGGTCATTTATATAGATGGAGAAAAGGGTGGGGGATAAGGAAGAGCCTTGTGGGACGCCTCTGGTCAGAGGTAGAGATTCTGATGGTGGGTTATTAGGAATTACAACGTACTGGGAGCGACCGGTTAGGAAGGATTGGAACCAATTAAGGGAACTAGAAGAAAAAGAGATATTTTTAAGTTTGGTTAGGAGGATGTTGTGGTCTACTGAATCAAAAGCTTTGGAGAAGTCTAGGAGAATAAGGATGGTTAGTTTCTGCTGATCTATGGCTGTGTGAAGGTCTTGGGAAATTTTGATTAGGGCAGACTGAGTAGAATAACCAGGTCTGAAACCGAACTGGTAGGGATTTAGGAGATTATTGTCCTCCAAAAAATGGGATAGCTGGGATTGGACTAACCGCTCTAATGGTTTTGAGAGGTTTGAAAGGAGGGAAATCGGTCGGAAATCATTAGGAACTGATGGGTTTGAAGTCTTCTTCAATGGGCGTACTAGGGCGGTTTTCCAAGATGTAGGGAAGGTAGCATTTTGAAGAGAATAATTGTATATATGATAAAGGATCGGAAGAATGGATGGCAATGCGGCTTTAATCAGTCTGACTGGGATATTGTCGGGACCGTAATCATTGGTATGGGACTTCTGAATGGATTTAAGGAGCTCATCTGGTGTAATATGGGAAAGAAAGAAGTGATCAGGATTAAAGGAAGAGAACATAGGAGCCAGACTGGACGTGGGAGATGTGGTTGCAAGAGGACAGGAGACAAAGTGAGCGTTGAGGTTATCAGCAGAAACGGAATTGGACTGAGACTGGGGTGCATTACCAATGGTCAGTTTTCTAAGAATAGCCCACGTAGCCTTGGTATTGGGAGAGTTGGATAGGGAATGATGGTAGTAACGGGATTTAGCACGGCGTACTGCTGATTGAGTGCTATTTCGAAGCTGTTTGTAGGAGAGAAAATCATCAGGAAGTCGAGTTCGTTTAAACCGTCGCCTTGCAGCATCTCTTTCTCTCATACACTCCCTCAAAGCAGGAGTAAGCCAAGGAGCTGGAGGATATCGGATGGTTTTTGTGATAAGAGGAGCATGTCGGTCGAGGATAGAGTGAAGTTGAGTGGTAAGGATTTCTACCATGGTGTCTATGGATTTTGAGGAGTAGATGAGATCCCACTGGATATCGTCAAGATCTTCTGACAATGTTTCATGAGTGAGATAATCTAGGTTTCGGAAGGATATTGTTCGGGGAGAAAAGGATGGAACAGGGTCATTGTAAGAGATCTGGACAAGATCGTGGGAAGATAGAAACGAAACCGGGTGCTGAGATGCGGCAAGGAGTTTGTCTGAGGAATCCAGGATAATTAGATCGAGCCAGGACTCTGAATACTGAGTATGATGGGTTGGATTGTAGGGTACTATGTAAAGGCTGAGAGAATTAAAGAGGTTTGTTAGGTAGGAATAATCAGAGGATGGTGCCAGTAAATTGGTGTTAAAGTCACCGGAGAGGATGGTGTTTGAGTAGGAAGGGATTAAGTTGCACAATAAAGTCTCAAGTGATTCATCGAAAGGAATTCTAGGAGGGCGATATATGACAGCAAACAGAATGGCAGATGAGGTTGTGAGGACTTCGGCGAAAAGGTATTCAACGTGCGGAGAATCGGTTATGGAAGAGCAGTGAAGGATTTTGGATTTGAGACTGTCATGGACAAAGAGACCTACTCCACCACCCGTGCGATCTACTCTGTCATGACGAAGGAGAGCTGGTGCTCCTTAAAAAAGCATGAACTAACCCGAAACGTCAGTTTTTTTTTTTTTTTGGTCCACCCCTTTTACGCCATTGAGGCTATACGAGACTTTTCCTGGGTGGAGGGCGGGGGAGTTCAAAACTCCCCCGGCATCAGAACGCGAACTCGTAATTATTTTATCATGTAAACTTGAGTTTATCAGGTTGCCGAGAAACGCGTGTTTTACGCAGCGATAGCCCTCCCTCCCCCTAGTCCAGTCAATGAATGCTCGAATAGGGGGTATAGAAGGAAATGGCGGCCACACAATTTTTGACTTTAGGAAATTGTTTGGACTAGTAAGGAGGTAAACATACTAAAAGTCTCCACTCCTAAGTAGTGAGCCAGATGTGAGGGGGACCCTAAAAGGACACATTTTTCTGGTTTTCACTTATATCAGGAAACCTATCCATCGCATCGACAAAGACGTTCTATACAAAAGTAACTTATTATAAATTAAATGAAATATGATTGATTACATACCATTTTTCACTATCTCGCTTAATTTCCGAGATATCCGTTCTTAATGATCGCTGTTAATGTTTACCTCATGTTTTTTACTGTATCTGACTAACTAAATCTTGACTGCTTCATTCTTCGATTAAGTAATGGGAAAGCAAATGTTTAAGAATTACACTTTCTTGAAGAATAAATATAATTTTACTAGTTTATCTTGAACGTTTCAAAAGTTAGATCAATTATAACTTTATATAACAATTCCGAGAATTTGCAGAAAAAAATCATTTTTATAATATTCGTTATTATATTGCTATAACTATCTATATATCTAAATCTCTATGTATATAGAATGAGGTATATTACATAAATAATTTTTTTCTGCAAATTCTCGGAATTGACCTATAAAGTTATAATTGATCTAACTTTTGAATCGTTGAAGATAAGCTAGTAAAATAATATATATTCTTAAATAAAATCGATTATTAAAAATTTTCTTTCTAATGGTTTGATTGCAGAGATCAAGTAATCAAGAGTCAGCTAGTCAAACAAAGTAAAAAACATGAGGTAAAACTTGTTTTCACATTAGCAATAGTTGAAGACCGATATCTAGGAAACAAGGAAAATGGTATTAAATCAATCATATTGGATGTTTTATTAGCTTTAATTTTTTATATAACGTCTTTGCTGATGCGATGGATGGTTTGCCTGATATAAGCGAAAACCAGAAAAACGGCAATAAACAGGAGACAAACTTCTTTTTTTTTTTCAAAATTCCCCATAGTTGAGGACCAATATCTCGGAAACTAAGCTAGGTAGCGAAAAAATATATATAATCAATCATATCGCAAAAATGTGACTATAAAAAAAAACTAAATTTCTTATGTGGAACTGTATTAAAATAAGAATCGCCCCTAACTCACTTTATTTTATATTAGAGAAAAGCGTCATGTATCAACTTTTACATCCTTTCATTTTATAAAAATAGAATAAAGGCGATAAAAATAAATTACTTTAAGTTTATATATATAAATAGTTTTTAGTTATAAACTATACATTTTTAACATTTGTGACCCCTGACATATTGTTCAGTGAAAACTTTCATTAAATAGGAAAAAGTTAGGGAATTTTATTCTGACAGTTTGGTAGCCACCCTGTACTAACTGATATGATTAGTGAAGCTTACCTTTTTCTTTGACATTCTGCAACCAAATTCCACTGTCATCTATCCTCTCATCAAGAGACCTTCAAAATTAAATTACATAGACATTTTTTTATGAATAAAAAAGAAAAATATGCAAAATGACTAAAAGTAACAAACATAAAAACCCAACTCTTTTCTTAATATTAATGATAAAATAAATAAATTTTTAAAGAATTTCTTTTCAGAAATAATTAAATTTTATAAAAAATATGTAAAGTATAAATGAATTTCTGAATGTTAAAAAGGTTATTTTTCAATTTTTTGGGTATGAAGAGTTACACTGACAGGCAAAAAATTCCACCCACTTGATTTTTTCATGTTTTCATCTAAAAATATTTCTGCTTTGGATTGGTCTATTGTCTTTATTGAATAAATAGGTTTGTTTTCAATTAGGAATGTTAATATAGAGGACAATAACCCTTAATCCTTAATTCAATAAAATGATTCTAGATTCCAATGTTTACTTTCTATGAAATCAAAATGTTTATTCAGTATCATTAGTTCAGTGCTGTTTCTTGCAGCACATTTCTTAGTCTCTGGCTTTTAATTTTTCCAATATTAAGTTTAAAAATGCCTCTTAGTGTTGAGGATGTTGCGCGTGGTGTGGCACTTATTGATGATGGACGTTCCATTAGATATGCAGCTAATGCCATCGGAGTTCCATATGAAACTTAACGAGACTGGTTTTTGGGAAACTGGTTCTTACAATAGAGGGACCGGTTCTGGACGGCCTAGGGTAACAGAACCACGGGATGACCAGTTTTTGACTTTGAGAATTTTACAAAACCGGCACCTTATCGTTGTTCAAGCAATTCATTAGCTCGAAGAAGTTCGAGGTATGATAATTTCTGAATGTACCGCTCGTAGAAGATTAAATGAGTATGGATTAATGGCTTTTCGTCCAGTAAGAGGACCAGAACTCACAGAGTAACGCGGCTGGCTTTTGCTCGAGAACACAGACATTGGACTATGGACGAATGGAGTGCTGTACTTTTTACAGATGAGTCAAGATTCGCTCTTCGACCTCCAGACAGGCGTGAAAGGGTGTGGAGAAGAAGAAATGAAAGATATGCAGCCTGTAATTTTTCCCAGAGCCAACCTTTCCAACGTGGTTCCTTAATGGTGTGGGCTGGGATTTCAATGGAGCGCCGCACAGAATTGATTGTTGTTTGACGGCCATTCGCTGATGAGATTATGGAACCTCATGTGTTGCCTATCCTCAACGAAATCGGCGATCGTTCTATTCTAATGCACGATAATGCATGCCCACATGTCGCCTGCATAGTGCAGACTTTCCTTCAACAGAACAATATTGAGGTTTTAGCCTGGCCAGCACATTCTCCAGATTTGAACCCCATTGAGCATTTATGGGATAACCTCGGAAGACGAATAAGAGCGCGTGCAACACTTCCTGATACACTGCAGGACCTTGAAAGGGCTCTTCGGTAGGAATCGGCTATCCTCCAGCAAAGATATACTAAGAGGCATTTTTAAACTTAATATTGGAAAAATTAAAAGCCGGAGACTAGGAAATATGCTGCAAGAAACGGCACTGAACTAATGATACTGAATAAACATTTTGATTCCATAGAACGTAAACATTGGAATCTAGAATTATTTCATTGAATTAAGGATTAAGGGTTATTGTCCTCTATATTAACATTCCTAATTGAAAACAAGCAAAAAGATTACCTATTTATTCATTAAAAACAATAGACCAATCCAAAGCAGAAATATTTTTATATGAGAAAATGAAAAAATCAAGTGGGTGGAATTTTTTTGCCTGTCAGTGTATATTCATTATTGTGTTCTATTAGAATATCACTTCCTAGGATATAGAACAACATTGGAGTCAGATATAAGATACAGTCTCCTAAAGGTTTGAGGGTATCAGGGAGCATTCTGAACTTCGCTGTTTCAGGGCACTTAAAAGGACTGATCATTGGAGTACTAACCTTCTAAAATGGAGCATGATGGGGCACTCTTGTAATATTATATTGAAGTCTATCTTTCTGCAATATCCATTCCTAATCACAAACAGCTCTTGTAAGCTGTAGAGAAGAAGAATACATGGGTGAAATTCTTAGGTCTTTAACTTTAGAAACTATTTCTGAGAGGTATAGAGAAAAGTAATGGCTTTATATTTTTACTAATGATACTGTTATGGGAGTTAGCAGGTATCATGAAGCAGCTGAACCTGGGAGAAATCCATAGTGGACTCCTAAGGAATAAAGAGGGGAAGAGGTTGGCCAAGCAAGACCTCGAAATGAAACATCCAGTAAATCTCCAGAATAATGATTCTAAATGAATAGCAAGAGGAAACATCTTGAAGAACACATCTTAAAATTAGTTGAAGAAAGCAATGGGAGTCCCTTTAAATGAAGAATACTGCATACCAATGTTATTGGTTTGGATACTATAATTGCCTGCTCCAGAATATGTATGGGTCATGAACACTTTCAACAGGATCTTCATAGAATTGAAGTTGTGGAAAGCATCATATGTCACTTGTACCATGAAGAGGAAAGGGTAGTTCATCTTATTGGCGTCTGACTATGGTGGAAATAAGAAATACACAACACTAGAATAACTACTTGAGAAAATTTGGATAATACTGCAAGGAAGTGTATGAAAAAACAGTATAATAAAAAAAATATCATTATTCATAAGCCTACTTAAATAGATAGGAAGGAGACTTGTTGGCAGATAAAAATATTATAATTGTCTAAGCTATGTTTTGGGGTTATTATTAAAGAATTGGCAATAGTGCTGAAGAGTTTATAAAACAGGAATAGTTTAAGTCAGGATATATAATAATCTTCTTTGGCATTCTTTCCACATGATCTATCCATCTTATCCGGGCTCTTTTTATCAATGTCACACTTTCTAATTAACATAGAACTAAAGATCATTCTTCCGTGAACCAGGCCCTATAATTATATAATAATTGCTTTCTATAGTGAAGTTCTCATCATATAATTAAGACAGTGAAATATTTTTAAATTAATGGATTTGTGAACTCGTCATAACATCCTAGAATAACTTAAAACTATCCTGGAAATTCTAAGAAAATAAATATATTGGCAAAAGTAATACATAACCAATTGATTGAATGGTAATACTTGAGAATATTTATATATAAGAAGGCTATATATTTGAGTTGTAAAAAAAGAAATAAGAATAAAGAAGTAGAAGGGGGGCGAAATGGGTAGGGTAACGGGAGGGCTAGAGAGGGAGATGAGTGCGGGAATCTCCCCCACTCTTTGCGGAAGGATGAAGTGATAGTGCCCTACTCACTACTTGTGAATTCCCACTCCTCCTTATCCCTATCAACGCCTACTGCCACCTCCTCGTGGTGGCCCCCAGGGAGTCCGATGGGACTTGCGAACGGCAGAGGCGGGAATCGCCACACACTGCCAGATTGGCAGGAGTGGTGGTTCTTCTTAAGACACCCAAGCTGAGGTGGAGGCTCGAGCCGCAGGCTGAATGGCAGGGGGTGTATAAAAATACACATACCCATCGACCAACTTGGGGCACCAGGCGACACCATATTTTACAGTAGCCTTCTACAGGGAGAGGGGGTAGTACCTGTAGCAACCTTTTACCACCCCCATACTCGTGGGAACAAAATGTACCCAATCCATAAAAAAACTGACAAACGGACCACAATTACAGGCGATGACTCTGGCTCGGACACGGACTTACATTTGGAAATGATTGAACGTTGTGAAGAGGGGTTAGGTGGGAGCTCAGTGGGGACATTCCTGGACCCAGCTGAGGAGACTTCCAGGAGCTCGCTCGTGACACTCCTGGATGATGTCACCAGGCTCTCTGTTATTACTGAAGAGTCTGGTGGTTACGTTCCTGAAGGGGCTGGAACATCATCTGATGTAGCTGGACCCTTCAGGCATAGGCCTTCCGGAGCACAGCGACGGAAGTTAAGGAAACTTAAAATGTCTGGGGAAACATCCACTCCTGCAGTGGTGGCGTCGGGATCTGAGAACCGAAACACCGCAGCGGATGGATCTTCCCCAAGCGTGGCAGTGCGCCAGGACTCTTTAGGGGCTATGGGGGCCTCAGCTTTGACTGGGGACCTTGGTTCCGGGAGGGCTGGACCTGCCATAAAAAGAGTTAGATCGTCTCCTGGGACCTCTGGAGTGGAGAGGTTAGTATGGTCTCCTATGCTCTAGAAACTGTGGGCAGCAGGGTGGCTATAATCCCATGCGGATATCCATCCATACAGCTGACCAAGGAGCAGAGCGAGGAGGTCCAAGACCAGGTAATCTACTGTGTTGATTGCCTGGAAGAGGGTGGTTTGCACCCAGAGTTCAGTGGCTTCTACTATTATCTCGGGGGTTGCGTTATCATCTGTGATGATAACGATACAAAGGATTGGCTCAATTCTATTGTGGGTACTTTTACTGTCGGGGGAGGGGGGGATTAGGCTCCGTACCGGTGGTATAGAGGAACTCAGGAGGCCCATCAGGGTGGGTGGATTCTTTCCTGGGGCAAGGATTCCGGAGGAACAACTTATGAGAAGACTCCAGATACAAAACGGCAAGATCCCCGATGTGAACGTCTGGTCACTAATGGGGATCAAGGATGAAGCAACTGGTTTCTATGGTATTCTTAGGCTTCCTAAAACCAGTATTAAATTCCTTGAGGGCAGGAACATGGCAATCACACATGGAACTACCAAGATCTACCTCAAGGTTTTCGAGAAGAAGAGACCACCAAAGCCTGACGTTGCGCTAGCCAAAGTGGTCGAGGAGAATAAGACCCTACGAAAGGAAGAGAAGAAAGGGACGCCAACTCCCATTAAGGATACCAGGGAGGCGCAGATTGGGTTGGTCCGGGGCGAGAGCTCCGGGGCTGAGGTCGGAGGGGGCTACTGGCGTCCAGCCGGGGGGCGAACCTCCGGATCCCGGCCCACAATGACCACGACAGAGGCGCTAAGGCTGTTGCAGATCAATCTGCACCACTGCATAGCAGCATGTGGGGTACTGCAACAGCAAGTGAAAGGTAAGGAAATTGATATTGT